AGCCCACACGCGTGGGGTTTCCCTTCTAGGAAGCGTTGAAAACCATATATGAATGATTGCGTGTTAATAAAATTGTGTTCTGTACGCAAGAGACGAGAGTGGGTGCGGTTCTGTGTAAATCGTTACTCCGGCAAACGCGGCTGCTGCTGCTGAGCGCTGCGGGCCCGGTTTGCGCCATCGGTGCCGAGATGGATTTAACGCATCGGCTGGGGCTGTTCCCCGACTGCAGCGTGACGCTCCTCCTCTTCAACCGCGTGAAAAATGCCGCTGCCCTCAGAAAAAAGGCCATGGAAGGATCCATCGAAGGAGCGTTAATAAACCCTGCAATGGTGAGTCAGTGCTTGTTGCTGTGCTGCTCGTACTGTGTTTCGGTTTGGAAGGCAGTGTGGAAATCCTCTTCCGTGGGAACTCTGTGAAAAACGACCAGTGCTTCTAATCGCCGTCACACGAGTTGCTATATACTTCTCTTTCTCTGCGTAAATGCTCCTCCTTTGATTTCATTACAGTGTCGTACAGCGTAAAGGGTCATCTGTGTAAGAGAAAGAGCCTTGGCAGGATTGGCCAAAACAATTTTCGTCTTGATTCACTTCACATCCTGCTTGGTGGAGCTATTTAAATCTACTTCATCTGTAAAATTTAGTACGAATTGCTTAATGCTGTCGCAAATCTACTATTTGGAGCTTTTGTTCTCATTTAAACCCATAACTAGTTTCTTTTTTTTTTTCTTTCTTTTTTTTTTTTTTTTTTTGTTAGAATTAGGAAAGCAGTAGTTAGGGAAGGGGAAAAAAAGAGAATCTAATGTGGCAACTTATTGACAGAAGATTTACTGATGTGATTCTTTTTTTCAAAAGAGTTCAGTAACCTGATTGAGACAGCATAATCTTTCTTTTTATGTCAAGTACTACCCCACACAGGAAATAATCACATTGACTTTGGAAGAGCAAAAATTGCTAAATACTGTTTTGCTCACTTGTACGATTGCAGACTTAGGCTATCAAAATTAAGTGGTCAGGTTTTTTTCAGAGTTCAAAATAGTATGTTAAATTTCTGTTTAACTACTTCTATTGTGTTTTACAGATTGTAGATCCTTTTCAGATTCTTGTGGCGGCCAACAAAGCAGTTCATCTACACAAGATAGGTAAAATGAAGACTAGAAGCCTCTATGCAGAAATTATTTTCAGCCTCTCACCAAACAACAATGTAAGATTTACTGAACAAATGTGGGTTTTTTGCCAGAGAAGCTTGCTAAGATCCATGTAGGCAAACTAAATGTATGCATTCGCTTAACTGTTAACCTGGCTACTAATAGAAGTTACTGTTATTTTTAATAACCCTAATGTGCTGTTATCTCTTTTAACTTGTCAGAATTCCATTAATCTAAAACATATGTCAATTTATAGTCTTGGTTTATTTGACCCAGTAACTGAAAAGGTTGTTTATATGTAGTGAGAAAGTGACTCATAATATTTTGATATTTTTCATCTTTTCTTAGATTTCAGATGCATTTAAAAAGTTTGGCATTTCGGACGGTGACACAGCAGTACTCATTGTTCTGGTTGTGGACAGAGAAAAAAATGTAAATCTGGAAGATATAGCATCTCAGGTAGAAGGCCAACAGGTTTCTCTAGATGAACTCCCCCAACTAACAGACACTGCCAAAGTTAAAAAGGTACGTAGCCAAAAGAGACAACTGGTGTAGAGAAAAGGAATAGTGTATTTAGTTGTCTGATTAAATATCAATGGGCATAATTAACTTAGGGTCTGTGTTTCTTTAGCACAACTGGAAGCTTGTTTTAAGTGAACCTTTATTATTTCTTTCTTATAATTTTTTTTACTTGAAAAAAGTTCTGGTTGTCGCACCCTGACATCGCAAATTTAAAGTCTTCAAATTCTTAACTTTGTCAGGAAGTTGGAACATAAAAATAAATTCCAGATTGCTGCCTACCATTTAGGCACTTTCGTTTCTTGTTTTCTTGGGCAAATATCCATTTAATTAAAAATAAATTTTCAGTCCTGAACAGTTTCATAATCTTAAGCACATAAATAGTCCCAGCATGGGCGGCTGAAATAAAAATGTGTTGATTAGCTGCTAGGAGCTGTGTTAGGGCATGTGTGCTCTTAACAGATTACCATATGCTAGATAGGTATCTTGAAGCATATGTGTTTCACTTGATAAAACTCAAATAACTTAAATCATCTTGATTGTGATAATGTGAGTAATGATAGGAGACATGAATAAAATTGGACAAATCATAGCATATAACATGTGGAGCTAAAAGTGCTGCTCTCATTCAGTTTCTTAGCTTTCCTTCATGTCTTGCCTGGTTCCTCAGTCCCAATTTTGTCTTGCAGTCACAAGAAGAATTTCCAATGTAAGAGCGGGAAATAGGGGGAAATCTTTTCTTATGTATGTATTTTTAGAAGATATGTGATCAATTTTTTTCTTCCTCATACAGTTTTTATGTTTTTCTTGTTCTTTTTTTCTGCAGATGTACAAAGTTACTCCGCAGGAAGAAGAAATCAGCACCTTATTGGATAGTATTGTTTGCAGAATGTCAACAAAAGATGTTTTATGAAAATGTGGAAATAAATATTTTTTTAAAGGAAAAAGATGGCTTTTTAAGATGTAAAAACACTTCATTCATCCTGTGTTTCAGAGAAAGCGGTGTAATACTGAGTAGTTCGGTGACATCTGAGCTTTAACCATAATGAGCAAGCTTGGAAATGGGGGTAATCTGAGCTGTGTTCTAAGCACAGAGAGCAATTCTGCCGTGCAAAGCAGAATTTGCCGTTGGCATTTCTGTCCATTTTCTTAATAATAAAAAAATCACTTTTGCCAGTATCTGAAGTTGTTCATAAACAGAAGGCTTGGAAATACTTTTCTCTTTCATCCAATGTTTTGCTAGTCCCAGATAGGATTCAAACATTGGAAATAATTTTTATTAACCCTCCCCTGATGCGTTTTGTTTTGGCACCCCTGATGGATGATACCCTTTTAACAATACTAGTGTCGGAAAAGGTGTCTCTATGGCACGAGGTATTGCTGATGGACTAGAAGAAGGAAAGTTTCCGTAAACTATCAGCAGCGCCTCTCTCTTTCTGCTGATGGGATGGAGCCGCTGCCCAGCCTTTGGGAACAAGAAGGGGCAGGAGGGGCACCGTGGCAGCCAGTGGTGGGGGCAGTGTGGAGCAAGGGCATCAGAGATGTGTAGAACAATGAATAAATTCGGTACGGATGATGTGTTAGCGCCTGACATTCTGATATCATCAGATGCAGCATACTGCTGAGGTACTGCTGTGTTGCTGTGGTACTTTAGTGTTGGTGCTAAAGGATAACGAGAGGTGTTTTTACTTTATAACGCTGGATTATGTGTGGTGATGCTGACTTCCTAGGGTCTGGTTCCAGGTACAGAATTCACAGAGAAGTTTGCACCATAGAGTTATACACTCAAATTGTTGGTATAAGTTACGCAGCATTCTGAAAGGATCATTGAACTTGTTTTGTTGAGCCAGTGTTAGGAAAGGCCCTCAAAGGAACTAGAAAGAGTATTGATTTCCTATAGTCACTGGGTCCAAAAGCACTGCGCAAGTATCATTTAATCACATGCTGGCATCCTGTTTAAGAAAACTTACTGGCCTAATTAGGTAGAAATCCATACTGCTTGTTATTGTTACACTGTATCATTTTTCTGAGATGTGTATAAAACTGTGTAGCTCTCTGCATTTTTGTTTTTTTCCCTAACATTCTCTGAGAGATTATGATCTGTGTATTAACAAGATCTTTGGAAGAGTATGCCCCAGATTCTTACACATAGTGTTTGGGAAAACAAAATATACTTGGATGGAAAGGCAAGTTTGAGGTAAGAGGTGAAATGTTATCCACTACAGTAAACAGCAAACTGACATACAGACCTAGTATTGTCTGTGTTTCTGTATTTAATATGGAAATTCATAGCTTCTGTTTTGCACGTTTGGTTAATTTTTCTTCCCTCAATTAAAACAAAGCCATACAAATATTGTCCTTTTCTGACCAACCAAATCAATGGCAAAATACCACACTTCAGGTGTGTTACAGACTGGCTGCTACTCTCCCTTACTTCAAACTACATGAGAGGAAAAAAACCTATTGTAGTAATTAATTTCTTAAATTAAAGCCAAGATTTTAAAAAACAAAGGCTTAGTCTTTAACTTTCAATTCCACATTTAAACAAGCCTCTTTTTCAAGGGTGGAAATGGTCCCTGGTGATTTCATTGGAAATAATTGGGCTTTTTCCAAAGAAAAAACAGATCATGGCCTGAATGCAGAACTGTCAATGGTGACTCAAGAAATGGTTTATCACTGTGAAAGGATTTAGGTATTTGAAGCAAAAAATTTGCTTCCCCTAAATCCAGCCTTGCAACTTTTTAACTCTAGGCATCCAAATGTATGTTAGCAAAATCCTTAGGTACGTAAGTTTTTGTGACTGACTGGACTTGTTTTCCTTACAGCGCTGGGGTGCAGGATTTCCTAGTGCCTGTAAGGTTCACAGACTATGCTGTCCTGCATCTGCCACGTTGGATCAGCTCTGCTTTGCAGATCTAACTAAATATTTGCTAATATATAGAGACAAACTGCCTGAGGAGTTGAGACACTTACTTGAGGTATAGAGATTAATCTTCAAGTCAGGAGATTCTTTGTTTATGCATTTTGGAACAGAGTCAACTTCTCATGTGAATCACCACGCAGCCCTGTGGTAGAAGCATTATTATGACATCTGGGTTCATACCCTTCCTCTGAACTGTTGTAGCTGGAGATCTTTCAAGACCTAGTTTGAGGTCCCTTACAGCCCTGTTTTGTAGGATCTAGCGAATACTTGCCAAGTACCAAGGGAATGGCAAAGTTTATCAAAAGAAATGATTCAGGAGAAGTGGCTGTGCTGATTTCTTGATTTAAAGATGGTTTTACAGAATGTATTATCTTCTCTAAAGGGGACAGAGGCAGTAGTAAAAGATGGAGCTTGGAAGGGCTTGAGTCTTTTGAAATAAAATGTGCGTAACAACAATGTGAGAATGACCACGGAAAATAAAAGACTTGTTTTCCTTTTCTGACAGTCCATTTGGTACATGGAGTATATCATCAGGTTGGCTGGCCGAACTGCTGACATTGTTTTTGGTAGCTTAAAATAACAGCAGACAGCTTAAACCACAGCCTTTTTTGAACATGGTTAAAACATTGCTCTGGTCTGTTGAATATAAAAGAAATACTAATTCAAAGATCACTGCATAACAATTGATACACACGTTCCAAACTTGAGGTTTCCAGTTTCTAATACTTGTCAGTCTATTTCACTGGTGTAGAAACACTAAATAGTTTGTTACTGTTGACATGAGTTAAATTATTAAATTGTAATTTACTGTGAGACCTGAATAAGCTGTTTTCATGGGTGGATTTACTGGAAATGATTTTGGGAGCTGTAGCCTCCGTAGCATCATTCAGTCAGGCAGATGATTTGAGTCTGTTGGCAAGGAGAGATTTTGCCACTGCCCTGCAAGAGCACAGTGTTCCTCTAGTCCTAGGTGCATTATCTAACTGAATTCAACAATTTATTTACAAAAACTGGTAATAAATGTAGATTTTGTTGACCCTGCAAAGTTACACTTGTGTTTCTGAACACACTAAATAAATTTGGATCTATAATTTAACTGTCAATTAACCATTCCTGATTTG